CATTGTTGTGAGAATAAAAGGGATAAAAGGGAAGTATTGTAAGCTGCTAGGTTACTACTGGTGGGGAGTGGAGGGAGGGGGAATGGACGGAGGTAAATAAATCCACACCAAACAAAACCAGGAAAAAAAATCCATTGGGGGGGGGGAAAACAAGAGTCAAACTTTATGCACTTTTAATACAAAACACAAGAAAGGAAACTTGACTGCAGCCTGCATACCCTGTGCATGATTTAGCAGTTCACATCTCAGAAGCAATCAAATGCTTCTGAGGCCCCTGAGCGGGGGGGGGCCCCAGCCCTTCGCTCTTCCTGCGCCTCCGGGAAAGACAGAAAGGGACATCTCTTCCCCAACCCGTTTTAATACCCTGAAGATGAATATATTTCACAAAGCACATTTAACATGACGCCTGCATGCCTCCATTCATTTCACATTGGTTTCATCCTGCTCTGTCTCGAGGAAGCGACCCGGCTCCCCTCTTCACGACCCTTCTTGGGAGCAGCAGATCCAAGCCAGTTCTTAAGCACGTGTCACTGAGCAGCTGACCCACACTCGCCCCCCTCCCCGGTTGCCTCCATTGCTTGCAACCTGCAAGTTCCTCGGGGGCAGCGAGCCACCCCTTTGTCATCCTGGGTACAAAGCAGACTTGCATCTGGGAGCAGCGTCACTAAAAGAGATCTTCCGATTTGGAAAACCCCCTCCCCGCATTTTGGGGTGCTGGCAAGGCTCGTCTCAGCCCCTCCTTGAGATCCAGCATCCCACCGAACAAGAAGCGCCCTCCTGCCTCCCTAAATTCAGCTTTGCAAACTCCCCGCAGGTAAACCTCCACTCACCTGGCCAGTGCAGGACTTTACTCCGTTAAAGAGCCCCTCCCGAGAGGGCTCAAGGGAGGAAAAAAACCCCCCCCCCCCCCCGGCCCCCTGCACGAGCGTCGCAGCTGCCGTGGAGAACAGCGCAGGCGGCCATAACTTTTTTAAGAGCCCCTCCCGAGAGCTGGGGGAACCAGAATGACCTCTTGTGTGTGATGTCCCAGCAACGCCGCTCAGACATCACACGTGAGAATTGGAATTTGCCCCTGCGAGTCCTGCGCAGCTGACGAGAACAGCGCCAGCAGCCATAACTTTTTAAACCCCCCAGCTGGGAGAGCCAGAATGAGGTGGAATTTGCGAGAGGTGGAATTTGACCCTGTGAGTCCAAGGCCACAACCTTGGCAGCGGCTCAGGGAGGCAAAAGAACGTTTTGCCCCACCCACCCCCGCATGGGCGTTGCAGCTGCCACTGTTACAGTGCCGGGGGCCATAACTTTTAAAGAGCCCTCCCGGAGAGCTGGGTGAGCCAGAATGACCTCTCTAGCCGCTCAGGGGCAAATTCCACCTCTCGCAAATTCCACCTCATTCTGGCTCTCCCAGCTGGGGGGGGGGGGGCTCTTTAAAAAGTTATGGCTGCTGGCAGCGGCAGCAGCAGCGCTAATGGCAGCGGCAACGGGGCCCCCGGGGTGGTGGCCTTGGAGTCCTAGGGGCACATTCCACCTCTCGCGTGGCAAATTAAGGAGGAGTTGCCTTTACAGTGAAGAATGGTTCGACAAAGCTTCAGTTCTACTGAACAAAAATAGCCGAGCGATGGGGTTTAATTTTTCTCTGTAGCAACGCTTTTGTTCCATCAGGGGGCGATGGCTACATAGCTTGGCTCTGCTTTTTGGCTCACGCCTCGATGAGTCATAAGACTCTGCGGAATTCCGTTTCCCAGAATGGTGACGCCATTGGCGGAGGGGGGGTGGAGACAAATAGATTGGCACAGCATCATTGGTTGGAAGGCTGAACTGACGAACTTGCACACTGGCATAAATAGAGGCTGTTGTGGCAGCGCCTTAGCAGAAACAGTAGACCTTGTGGTGTGTTTGTCCGCGTGCTGTTTCCTGCGTCTTGCCGCTGGGGGATGCTTGCTGCCTGACTGTGCGTGTGCCGCCGACGCCAACGCCGCGCCCGGGACACGAATGAAGAAACTGCTTCTCCTGCTCTTCAATTTTCGGGGACTCACGCGAGGGGGTGGACGCAGGGGGAAACGCCGGCGAAAATGGCCACGTTCCGTATACGTGCTGCGCGGCCCGAAGACTGTGCCGATCTGCTGCGCCTCATAAAGGTACATTGCTTTATGCAAACTCGGTAACGTTGCCTGCCGGTCACGTACGCGCAGCCCAAAATGCTGAACGCAGGCTTAATAAAATAGAAGTTAGTCCCCTTTGCCTCCTCTGTTTTTTAAGGTTTTGGAAAGGCAGGAACAACGTTTTGAGAAAGAAAAGATATACGTAACGTGGCTCTATCTGAGGGGGGAATCTCTGAAAGAAAGGAGAGCCGGGCTGGGTGAATTGGCAAGGACTGAACAGAGAGCTGTGTAAAACGGATGTACTTAACGGGCACCAAAGTTTAGTTTAAAACCACAGATGAACAAGACCATAAAAGGAAGAGGTTTGAGGCTTCTGTTTGATCTTCTTTCCCAGCCTGAGCCGCCATCTGCTATAATTGGATAGTGCAACAACACTGGGATCTGCCCAGGTTTAGCCAGAGTGGGCATTCCCACCCAGCAGCTGCTCACAAATTTTTAGCAGTAGAAAAGAGTAAGGGTCCAGTAGTACCTTAAAGTCTAACAAAATATGTGACAGGGTATGAGCTTCCGTGAGTCACTGCTCGCTTCTTCAGATACCTTGTAAATTTTCTTGATATCTTGATCTTTCACAAATGTTTTGCATTCGTACTGGATGCTTGTCTGTGTTCTCTACATTTTCAGGGGATCTCCTCCAAACACACACACACCCCTTTGTACATATAGCCAGTGTTCCCTCTAAGCTGAGTTAGTCTGAGCCAGCTCACAGATTTTTTAGCCTCCGGCTCACACATTTTTGTCTCAGCTCAGGAAGGATGGCTCCAGAGCAAACTAATTTGGGCAGTAGCCAAATTGCTCACTCACAACTTTAATGGCAGTAGCTCACAAAGTAGATTTTTTGCTCACGAGACTCCACAGCTTAGAGGGAACATTGCATATAGCTTAAGGTAAAATTTTCTAGGGTGGGATGTTTTGTTACTTTCGCAGTGGAACAGTTCACCCTGGGCAGATAACCTTTGCCCTCCGGTCAGGAAAACATCCCATGTGCCCCCTCCCACATCTTGTGCAACAGACTGTATAATCTTTGCCCTATGTACAAGGAAGTGGCTTTTGTTTTTTTTAATAAGTGAAGACAGATTCAGCTGCTGTAACTTCCCTGTCCTGGGGCTGTATACCCCGGTTCTTGAAAAACAGCAAGCAAAAAGATTGCACCATCTATTTAAATGATCAACAGCTCCTTTTTATTTAAGATGTTCCTGATGTCCAATTTAAGCTTTATTTATGTAATGTAAATTACTTAGATGAATCGTTGTTCATTCTGTTCTTGCTGACATCAAACGAGGTAACAGATCCATGCTGCCATGGTCTACATCTTGACTTGAAAGTAAGTTACACTGTTTGGTATAGCTTAGTCCCAGGTTGCAGCCTTAAGGTTCTCTAGATAGCTCTGTAAATGCCTGTGCCTTACAGACCTTGCAGCATCCATGTACTGTTCTGAATCCTGTCCTGATTCTCTGATGAACTGCAGAGATTGGATGTGTGTGTTGAAAGCACTATATATAAAAAAAGAACTTTCCCACCTTTGTAAACAGCTGGCCAAGGATAACAGAACAGAAATACAAAACATACTATCAGAAGCTAGTACAATGAGGCAATAACCCTACTTTCTTTTTCGACAGGAACTTGCTAAATATGAAGAGATGGAGGATCAAGTAGTGCTGACTGAAAAAGGTAATATTGTAGGTTATTTTCTGTCAGAGTAACTTTATGACAGGTTAACCAGATTATAAAAAAATGATACTGAGATTTTATTTACTGTTATCTTGTAGATCTGCTTGAGGATGGCTTTGGTGAACACCCTTTCTACCACTGTCTTGTTGCAGAAGTGCCAAAAGAACATTGTACACCTGAAGGTGAAACTTGAACTCTTTTTTGGTTTATTAAAAAATAATAAAATATAAACTGCACTTAATATTACTTGTAGAGTATCTGTATGGTTGTAGCAACAAATTACAGCAAGAGTCAGTGTTAAAACTTAACCTGTTGAAATAAGAAAAGTGTAGCTTTTCAATTAACTGTTCTGTTGCCTTGAAGACCATGGAAGACCAGGTATAATTGGAAAATATACTGTAATACCACTTCATTACATGGTTGTTCTTGTTTGACCCTAATTTATCGATATGTAATCCTGTTGAATCACATGTTTTCTTCAATTTGTCCCCAATCTTCAGGTTACAGTCTCTAGCTTCGCCATGTACATGGCCCTTCCGTGTACATGGATGGGCGGGGAGGTAACTAAAAGATCCGTTACACAATAAAGTAGATGATCATGATATATGAGGTAAGGTCTCCAGGGACAAATATTATTCCCAAACATCTACCTCACAAAGAACAAAGACAGAGAAAAAGCATACAAAACACTCGGCAGATCAGAAATCCTGTGTGTAATCTTTTAATAGAGATTTGGAGTTCTAGATTTTGACTGGGATGTTGTAGGAAAAAGATTACCAGTTGCAATAATTCATTCCTTTCCCAGTGGAAGAGCAGAATGTGCAAGCAATAAAACCAAGAAGGAACTTGGGATGCAATTGACTGAAGAGTAAAAGCTTATATATGAATGGCTGTTTCATGAACAACTGGCCATAAATTAATGTAGAAAACAGTATTCAGATGTGTTCACTTTGAGAGTCCTGTGTTCATTTTTTAAAGGAATCAGTTGAGATGACTGCCACAATATTCTGATCTGCCGTGTAATATTGTAGACGTCTGACTTATATTTGGTCATGCCAATAAATCATTAGGGAATGTACAGAATATCTCTACCAAAAAACTGTAATTGTGATGTAAAGGTTGACTGCCAGGTACTGCAGTGGTGTGACCATGTAGGTATGTACAGCACCAACATTCAGGTGTTTGTCCCCAATAACTGTAATGTTGACTTTGAGACTTCTGGAGTATTCCAAGATAATCTTTACTTGTTAAGAATGCCTACCCAGTTTGCAGCACTACTCTTCTTATAGACAGTACGTTATGTTCTCACATTGACCAATGGCAGCGTAATATATTAATTTTGCATGTACACAGAAACTGTTGTGACATATGCATGTATGATATGAAAGATACTAACTCTTTTCTTCCTAATGAAATTTCACTTTGTGGTAAAGTAACTATAATCTTTCATTACAGGATATGGAATTGTGGGCTTTGCAATGTATTACTTCACTTATGACCCATGGATTGGAAAACTGTTATATCTTGAAGACTTCTTTGTGATGAATGAGTTCAGAGGTATCATTTATCCTGAAATTTGAAGACTTCTTTGTGATTAAGTTCAGAGGAATCATTTAGCTTTAAACTGTTCTTAATCCAAGATCTAAAAACATTTAATTCTTTTTAGGTTTGGGCATTGGTTCTGAAATTCTAAAGAAACTGAGTCAGGTAAGTAGACCTCTTTCAGACTGCAAAGTTTTGTTCTCTAAAGCAGCCACTTAAGCAAAGTCAAGTAGTTATCACCACCCCTGTGTGTATAGCTTGCAAATTAATCCATACAGATTTTGCAGTGCTCATAGCCAAGCAGTTGACAGATCACACCATGATAATAATCATAAAAAGATATTCCCATAGGTGCAGGAAATAGTTTAACGGAATGCAAAAGAGATCCAACATGCTTCCACAGAACAGGTCAGTGTATTGCTCATGAGGAAGGCATTCTGTGAAAACACAGAGATCTATGTTGTGTGCATTTAAACTGTTTCTTTCACCTAGTCAAACTGATGTTCCCTGGAGTTTTGACACTACATTCTTTGGAATGATTGAAGTCCTCCACCCAACCCACATTAGGTTTTCTCCCCCCACTGATGATCTACAGTGATAATATATTATTTTCAGTTGTATAAATGGACATTCCCCTTAAAAAAGCGTTAATGGTTGAAATTGTAAAGGAGTCAAGAGCCAAGTGTTTTCTGAAACTTCTGCAGAACCTTGAATGTATGATTTTGAGATGCTTAGTACAATTACTTAGCATGGAGAGTAAATAGCTGATAGCGAGGATTCAGTGAGGCAACAGAACTGCTGACACATGTGCCAACAGATAGGAGTACTATCTCCAGTTTCCATGTTCTATTTGCTTCCTCTAGACGGCTGTCAAGTGTCGTTGCAGCAGCATGCACTTCTTAGTGGCAGAGTGGAATGAGCCTTCCATCACGTTCTACAAGAGACGGGGAGCTTCCGACCTGTCATCTGAGGAGGGCTGGAGACTCTTCAAAATAGACAAGGAGTACTTGATGAAGATGGCAACCGAAGAGTGAGGGCTTTTGCCTGGCCAATAACAAATTCCATCCAATCATCTTTGTGTTCTTCCTACCTTGCTTTTCCTACACTTTGTACTGAAAAAAATTAGTGTGAACCCTAATTCAAAAGCTTTAATTACCAGTGGCATTGTTGCATAGATATGACTGGAGTTCTGTGACCCCAGCCCCACAGGTAGTAACAGTTGTGGCGTCGGCTATTTGTCTCTATCCTTCATCAGTGCACTTGTCATCCTAAAATGTATATTGTATATAACTTCATTCTTGTAAGTGTCATTCAAATGTGTACAATGTACACACTGGTAGGGTTTTTGTTTTAATTATTTACGTTCATAAATAAATGTTTTCCATTGGTGTGGGTTTGTGGACATTTTTTTACAGGCTTTCTGCTGCGTGTACTTGCTGTTTGTTAGTCGGCATGCGGAGTTGCATGGAGAGGGTTAGGAGGAGGGCTCCTGTGCTTTTCAGCTGCAGATTCTCCAGCCTTTGTTCCAGATTGCCACCCCTGTTACTTTCCTCTCTTTGCACCACCATCACTGCTATTTCTCTTTGTCCATGGCCAGCTTGAATAGTTTTCCATGTTGTGGTGAATACTTAGAACATCTAAGTTAGTTTCTCTGGGCTGGGTTCACCTGAATCAAAAGGTGGTGCCACCTTAGAGGGATTAAACCAGCCCCATTAACCTGGTGCCCCCTTTTAAAGGATCTTTAAGCCAGGCAGCAAAGTGAAGAAGGGATTATAGTATGGAAAAGGAAGCTTTCTCCCCGGCTCAATCGTTTTGCGTATAGATTGTTCTAATTCCATTGCAGTTGGCTGGCACAAGAAAACAGGAAGACCAGGCAATAGCATGCAGCCTTCTTCTACCCTGCCCCCTCACCCTACTTATCTGGTGTACAAAGTTTGAGCAACTAAACTCCTTATCTTCGCAGACCTGCAGAAAGACAAAGTTTGCTTTCCTCTTGGAAATTAGGTCCTAGCATTCTTCTTTTGATACAGAGCATTACAAAGTGCTGGGTACTGGAAATCATATAGAGAATCCTATGCATATTCAGATATCTTTGCAGTCTCCAGTGTTAGTATTTGCTGCATCGGGCCTTGAAAAAAGAGGTTCTTGTTTTTCTCATTGTGCATATTGGGAGCTAAGACTGAAACACTAATTTGCACAAAACCACGCAATGGCAGTGATGAGACTTAAAGCCACAGTTAGTGGGTGGGAAAGGTGAAACTCACCCAAGATCTGACGTCTAAAGTCATAGCTAGATAATGACCAAGACCATCTATTCACCTTGACTGCCATGCAGATAATGCATTTCAGGGCCAACATAGATCATACATTTTACATAAGGAAGAGATCCTGCGTAGTCTAAGGCCAAATGATTGGCTTACTGTATATCTTTGGGTAGATGTGGGAATAAGGGATTTCCTTTGCCTAAGATACTTTCCATATCCTTGGTTGTATGCTACAGCACCTAACCCAAAAGCTGAGGAAGATAACAATTGATAGCAACCAGCAGATTAAATTTAACAGCACAACAATTAAGCAGTACATATAGCAGGTTCTAGGTTAACTGCATTTTCAAGCAAAGGATGTGTTCATGAGTACATACAGCTTAGTGAAGACTTGTAGCTGCACCAGGGCAAAGAAGCAATCTAGGCTAGATAATAGGCTGCATAATAAAGAAGGATCTATAATTACCGTTATGTAACATGTTTCTATATAAGTGCGATTCAGACAAGGTCATTGAATGACTGTAAAGGATGCAGAAAGTTTTGTGCAAAATGTAGATTGAAAGATCATGACTATTTGCTTGGGTGGGGCTAATGACACCATTATAAAAGCATCTAAAACAGCAAATTGATATGAGCAACTCATTTCTTAAGAGTTGTAAAATACACACAAATGCTCATTCAGTGAAAACAGTATGTTAAACTCTGTTAAAAGCCAGCACTTCTATTTATGCAGCATATTACTGAACACACAGGCTCAGCCACAGAACTTTGATCTCCTGAAGCATCAAATGCTGAAAGATGGCAGGATCTTGGGGTTAGACTGACCACAATCAGAGGTATAAAAAGCCCCATGTTTTCTGCAGCCTATGTGATTGACCTGGAACTGTGTTGTGCTGCATGAAATGTGCATTGGTTTGGGGTAGTACTATATCCAATAGAAAACACCCCTTGGTTCTTGTGATTTTATCTCCACCCCCAACTGTGAATGCATCACAGACCAACTGCATTTCTATAAGGGCACAGGCACCATGGAAAAATCTGTACAATGAGTTACACTACAACAGGGAATCCATTCCTTCTGTGTTGGGATGTATGCTGTACTAAATTATTAACCTTGGTCCTTCTGAACAGTCAGAGGTGTCCTTTATAAGTAGCAAGCCTTTCCCTTGAAAATTATTGAACTTTACCTGAAAGTTTCATAGCATGAGCTGTACAGAAACTAGATAAAGCAAAAACTACATGTCTGCTTTTATTACCTACTAAATATAGTGAAAGGGAAAGCCAACTACAAGTTGAATTAGAATCTCTTTTCTGTGTTTCTTACTCTCCCATCATCCCCACACACTTTTCTCATCTATGCTCTGCCTAGCAGCAGTCACCAACCTGCCTTTTCCAACAGAAGACAGAATAGCACAGAGGTGTGACAGTTTTAACGCTGCTGCTGCTGGCATTTCACACCCTCTGGCAAGACTTCCAACAAAATGCCTGGAAACAACCCCCCCCCTCATTTGTTGTAACCAGAGACTGATACCCATGACATGAGAAATGTGTTTTAGACTCCTCAAAGTAACACAAGGAAATTGCTCAGATTTTTCCTTGATCTGAGTCATTTGGAGCTTTCATTCATTTGCCCATAGAAGGCACATTTTTCAGACATTGCAGCAGCAGACAACCATGTTATTTGATCCTTTTAAAGAAAATTCCAGACCACCTAGTATCAGCTTCTTTGGAAAGTACAGTGCTGGTGCAGATAGTCCAGAAAGAAAAGCTCATTTGCATTTGCTCAACCCAATGAATTTTTTGTATTTTTCCTCTAGGCATTTACTATCAATTAGTAAAATGGCAACAACTAATTTTCCTGGACAGTCATCACGAAAGGGAAATGAGTGGGCCACTACTAGCGCCTCCCCCCCATCATGCCACTAACTGCCTCAACAGCACCTAATGGGAGCCCTGATTTGACCATGGTGGTTGCAGGTGCCCAACATCTTTTCCATATCAGCTATATAGCAGTATTCAGCCGCCACCCCTAATGCTTAGAAATGTACTGCTCATCTGTGTGTGTTTATTATCTGTTGTAAGAGTATATAAACTACAGGACATTTTACTGGTTGACAACAGGTGATGAACATGGTTTAATAACTGAATGGAAATTTTATCTATTCTAGGTGCCAACAGAAGAATTCTAGTATTCTCCTTGTGCCAGTTTGGTGTAGTGGTTAAGTGCGTGGACTCTAATCTGGGAGAACCGGGTTTGATTCCCCACTCCTCCACTTGCACCTGCTGATGTGACCTTGGGTCAGTCACAAGCTCTGGCACAGCTGTCCTTGAAAAAGAGCAGTTTGTGTCAGAGTTCTCTCAGCCCCACCCACCTCACAGGGTGTCTGTTGTGGGGAGGGGGGGGAAAGGAGTTTGTAAGCCGCTCTGAGACTCCAAGTGAAGGGCGGGGTATAAATCCAATCTCTCCTCCTCCTTGAAACATAAGCAATGGCTTTTCTTTACAATCACTATGATAGCAGTTTTCCAGTTGTTCTCCACATTGTTCCCCCCCACACATACACACACTAGTTGCATGGTTCTCATGCAACATTTTTAAAGGGAAATAAACAGTTTACAGGACTTCTGCCTACAGTTTGTAAGTGGTTCACATGATGGCCTTATGCAGGGTATGGTGGTAGAGGATAGAAGGTTGAAGTACATCATTTTATTAGCTGACTTCAGAAATCATTTTAACCCACAAGCTGATAAGCAGAAGACACATCCAGAAAGAAGTCTCTTGAGGTCACTGAAGTTGTGCAACTCTGTTAAGTACCTACCCAGGCCATAAAAGAACAGAATGTTGCCAGGGGAGTATTATTCCCGGCATGAGACAGAACATACAGGTTATATACACCACAGTGCTAAAGTAAACAGGAAATACTGCTTCTGCAGCTTTAATGTATGAGGAAATGAGACTGTTAGCTAATAATTTCAGAGGGGTAACCATGTTTGTCTGTTGCAACAAATATAAATAGTTGGGTGGCACCTTAAGAGTTTAAAAAATCCTTCCATTGTAAGAATTAAAACCCACTCATTCAGAGAGTCCACAAAATGCAGTTTAGGTACTTGAGTGCACCAAAGTTTATACTGGAATAAAACTTCTTAACCTGCACTTCAAGGTACAATGCAACTTCTCTTAATTGTTAGCCAAGAGCACCTACATTTTAAACTGAAAAACATTTGATTACAGAATTAACTCTCTGATAATCTAGCCTGATGGAAAAGTTCCAGTGAGCTCAAGAGTTTGCACAATGTTTTGTGTCAATTTGGTGGGGCCTAACAAAAGATATTACATGAAATTTGTTCTTGGTTTTGGATTTTTAGTCATTTGGCATGGACCAATATGGCTGCTCATAACTGGTTTCTGCTTTACAGATACCCAGTTTAGATTTTTAGAGAGCCTGCATGGTATAGTGGTTAAATTGTTGGACTGCATCTGGGGAAGCCAGGTTCAAATCCCCACTCTGCTATGGAAGCTTGCTGAGTTACTTCGGGCTAGTCACATACTCAGCCTAACCTACCTCACAGGGTTATTGTGAAGATAAAATGAATGAGAGAAGAGTTTTATTTATATTATTTATTTATTATTTATTATTTATTTATTTTTGAGATTTATATCCCGCCCTACCCATACGGCCCAGGGCGGCAAACAAGCGGCAGTGCCGACGATAAAACATAAGTTACAATTAAAACCTCAATAAATGCAAACTAAAATGGTGCTAACAAGATAAAAGCAAGCCTGGGGGGGAAGGAGCACTTAACGGAGTTTCTCCATAACATAAGGCAGAACTGCCCATGACTCTATACGTCCATAACCTTAAAATTTATCTCAAACATTTGTTAATATAGACTACCAGATACCTCCTTTCTTCTCCTTAGCATTCAAAGAAACTATCTGTCTTGTTTGGGTGTTGAAAGTAATTTGGATGTACCTACATGAATTTGTTCTTGGGTTTCGATTTCTTTATGCCTAGACACTGCCTTCTCAGTATTCCATCAATCTCCAACATAGATTGGAATGCATTCTAGGGTATGTCACCTAAACAGTCAATCGAAACAGCTAGAACACATAGGCATGC